CCCCTCCCTCTCTCTCTCTCTCTCTCGCTCGCTTGTTCTCTCCCCTTTCCCTCTCCTTTACGCTCTCTCTCTCTCGCCCTCCCTCTCCCTCCCCGTTTCTCTCTCTGCCTCCCTCTCTGTACCGGTCGCTGTTTGTTGTTTGTCGGTTTGTTGCTTGTCGGTTTGTCGGAACAGTTGGTTGTGTGGAGGGAAGAAGACCACTCCCTCACGGCCCTCTCCAAGGACTACGAAGACTGCCAGGTCTTTTCGGCCGAGTATCTCATTGACGAGCCGGGCATGGCCATCGTCGTCGCTGACGGACGAAGAAACATCAAGGTGATTAATTGGTTGGTGATTGATTGCTTCTTTTTATGTCTGGTTCATGTATCAGGTTGGTTGATAAGTCACGGGTCTTTGACCACCGTTCTTCTCCTTGTTCTACATGTACCCAACCAGGACTACAATCTCTGGATTTGTCTCCGCAATAGCTGCTACCCTTGCAACTTTTCCCGACGCTAAAAACGTTTTCAAGTTGGGGCTGCTGGCACTCCTCCTTGATCGATTGGGTGATTGATTGCTGGTGGCTTTTAGGTTGATGGATTTCCGTAGTACGCGGAGAGGTAGCACCCCTCCCCCCCTCGACCAATTTTGAAGATCTCGATTGCTCCACCACCGAGATTGTTATGTCAACACCAAGAATGGTGGCTTTGGGAACTCTTGTCGAGGGCGTATCGTAGACGCATCGGGCTCTTCCCGCACCCGTCCTTGATTGTGCAGCAAGCAAGCTTTGAACATCGGTCTAGGGGAGGTACAATCTCTCCGGCTCTTCGTACGGAATACCACGTTACGGTAAACGGTACGGTACAGACAATCTTGGTCGTGGAGCAATCGAGCTTTGAACATCGGCCGAGAAGGGGTGCCATCTCTCCGACTCTTACGTTAGGGTGGTTGTCGGGAGCAGCAAAAGAGCTACGCAAGACACGATGATGAAAACGATTAGGACGACGACGTTAGAAAGCAAAACACATCTTTTCATCGAGAAGCATTGTTAGGTATCGCCGGGTTCTACACTGCAGGAGAGGAAGAATGTCGTCAGATTGAGGAGTTAGAAGACAGTTCTTTCGCCTCTTCAAGCGCGGCGTCAGTTTTTTTTTGTTTCTCCGCTGACGGAATTGTTTCGTGTGGTAAACTGGGACTCGGAGCTCTCTTTTATTAGTTGAGAAAAGCAAGACGGTCTAAGTAAATAGCAAGGAACTTGACAGTGATGGCATGGAACTTGAAAGCGATCGCCCCCGGTGAATGGGATGCCTATCATATATTGGAGTAACCAATCCATCCATGGCTGATGTCTTGATACTGACAAGGTTGACACGCTTCAGGCCTCCGTTGCATCAATTTGCGTTTGACCATGTACCCCCTCTCGCCCTCGCTCGTGTCTATTTTGTTGGGTGGAACTCCAACTCATGTATGAATTCTGGAAGGTGTTGCAGTACGCCCCCAACGCGACCAACTCTCGAGGGGGCACCAAGCTGCTTTGCCAGTCTGACTTCTACCTCGGATCCAGGGTGGGAAAGGTTAGTCCACTGTTCTTGCATGTGGCCGTTTGCCTCGTGTCTATCGTGTTGTTGTTGTTGTTGTTGTCGTTGTTTTCACGGTACACGGTTGTCATCACACGTGTTGTGGCGCGAGTCAGGGGGATCGCCAATATAATTCTACATTAGATGGGTACCACAGCTTGGTGGTCGCGCGATCCCAATCGCTGTTCCTCTGCGTTTTTTTTTTATTAACTTGTTTTGTTCCCTGGCAAACGATGCCCCCCTAAAATTCCGCTTCATTCATCGCAGTGATACTCTTGTTTTCGTCTGTTCCCTTCGTGGTTTTGCTCGTTGCATCTTACACTACTCTGCTTGCAAAGGCCTCATCACGTTCGCCCCTAAACGAAAAAAAGAACACCAACGGCTCCCAGTATATCGACGTATTGACCCTCATAACCCTGTTGTTCGTGTTTGTGAGTGTCTTTTCTTCTCCCTGTTGTGTTGTTTTTGTTTACTCTAATTTTGGTTTCCTGTCGGCATCTAAAACAACTCTGCCATGCACACGTTTCACCATTTCGCCGCTCCGAAAGCTCCCGCCGATTTGACTTACACCGCTCTTCCTGTTGTGGGCATTTGTGTGTTTCTTGCCCCCCTGTTGCACCTTACACAGCTGACACGACGGCGCACTCGGGGTAACCTCAGGGACGGAGCGCGGTACTGTCTCCTCGCCGGCACCCTGGACGGCGGCCTTGGGGCAGTCCTTCCCGTAGACGAACGCGTCTTCCGAAGGCTTTACGCGCTGCAGGGCATCATGAGCAACGCGCTTGGCCACAACGGCGCAGCCAACCCAAGGTTTGTGGCTTCCTTTTGGGGGGGGGTTGTTGGGATAGGGGGGGGGGGG